ACCTGTACATGGGACAGGTATCCGGAGCGTAATCTAAGAAACAAAGCCACATTTTCCAGCTGCTGCAGCCAGACTTTACTTGGAAAACCTGGTTTTAGCTGGTACAAAAGAAAGGAATTACCGGGACAGCAGAGTGGCACATTGGTTAGGAGTTGGTTTGGGACGCCAGCTCTGAGCAGCAGGCCCCAGGTTTGGATCCCACATATGAGGGCCAGTGACGCTGCACCCTCTACAGCTAGGATGGTGAACAACAGCTCGACCTGGAGCTGGGCTGCCCCAAGTCACCCGCGACGCGTAGGCTGCAGTGGGGCTGGCCAGCAGCTGGCGAGCGCTTTCGTGAGCTGCCGTGAGCCTTCGTGAGCAGCCGTCCAATGGACAGCAAGCAACTGCCTCACTCGGGAAGAGCGCAATGTTAATACCAACATGGGCCAGTGAAGCAACGTCCTCCACAACTAGACTGAAGAACAAAAAGGACAGCAACTTGTCTGTTCCCCTCCCCCAGTTCCCCAATAAAATCTTAAAAAAAAAAAAAAGGGAATTATCTGATGTTTACACTCAACAAACAAAAACAAAACCACACCCACGTTGGCGCAGTTATGTGGGAGAGTGGAGATGGAATTGGCCTTCATTTCTATGCCTTCCTGAGAGGCACGTGACAGGAAGCGATTCCTGTGCCAGTTAAATCTGAGTCCAGCAGGTGGAGGTAAGGGAACAATTAAATTGTTGTGAGGGCAGTGGCAGGAGGACAGGCCTGCCCCATGCAGACAAGCTGGGTTCTGCCAGGGAACCACCAGGAAACAAAACCCTAAAAAACACAGCCAGCACTGGGTGCTCTGTCTGGACACTCCACAACCCTGCCCCAGAAGGAACAGGGGAGGGTGGTCCACAGCTCTGCCCTCATAATTTAAGGTGCAATTTAGGACACAACTCAATGAGAAAAGCAGAGCCTTCTCTCCCCAACATGATTTGTCTAGGACAGGAGTCAGCAAGCTGCAGTTCGCGAGCCACATGCGGTTCTTTGGGTACATACATGTGGCTCTGAAGTAAAACTGAAAATGAAAATAAAACTATCATAGTTTCATTTACAAAATTTTTAAAGGATATTATTCACATAGTGGTGATTTCATTTGTTTTATGGCTCTCGAATAATTTTTAAATTGTTGTGAGGGACAGGATTGGGTCTTCCATCTCAAAAGTTTGCCGACCCCTGGTCTAGGAAAAAAAATTACCCCAAAATCTGAGCTCAGAAGAGTGGTGGGAACCACTGGGAACAATGGTTAATATTTTTGGAGCACTTACTCATTAGCTCACTTCATCTTCCCCACTGTTCTATGAATAACTGAGAGTCCCACTGACCAGAAGAAACTGAGGCTGGCCAGGCAGGACAGGAGCGGGCTTGCTGGCTACTCCAACCCAGAGCCAAGCACTTCATTCTAGGTGAGCCACTTTTCCCAGTTTTTATAATAATTAACCTCCAGCTAAGATGCATGTCAACCAAAGTAATGTGCTCTGGGTTATGATTAAACTAGTGACAATGACCCAAAGTCAAGGCAGTCAGGGCCACTCACTACCTGAGCACTGGGTAACCTGGGCAACCTGCCCACCCCCAGTGAGGAGCTGTTAAATCTGTGTTTTCAACGTGTAAAAACAGCTTTTGATTTTTTTTTTCTACTTGGAATAGTTAAGAGAATATAAACTAGGTTAACATGGCTATTTTGGGTTAATGTAGTCCAAAAATCCATCATCTCTCAAGGTCCTGAATTTTCTAGTAATAAAATCACTTTCGCATCACAGCGAAATGAAAGATGGTTTTCCATCAACCAAGCCACAGGTACAAGGGCCCTGAGCTGCAGCAGCTGTGCTTCTGGAACAGCCCGTAGGTGGAGAGAAGGGGAGGAGCCATGAGGCCGCAGAGGCTTGGCCTTGGCAGTGTCCACAGACCCCCACTGAGCACTTGAATGAACTCAGCACTGTGCCGTCCACTATCAGGTGGTCAGAAGGGTGGTCAGGAAGTTAAATTTGATGGAGTCTGTGTGTGACTCTGGCTGCAGAGGCAGTGAGGCAAGGCCATTTGAGAGCATGAGTTGAAACCCAAACAAGCCAGGGGGCATACTGCCTGCAGACGCGGAAGGAGGCACTGGCTGGAACAGCGTGGACAAGGGCAGTAACTGGATATGAGTGGACAGCAGTGCGGGGGCCTGTGAGACCCTGCCAATCCTGGGGAGGAGCGGGAGCCACTGGAGGACTCTCAACAGAGGACAACACAGTCCCCCTGGGATTTGATTCATCCTCAAATCTCATTCTGGCTACTAGGTGGGAGTGGCCATTACACGTGTGTTCCTCTGCAGGTGAGGGGGGACCCATTAAAATCCAAGGTCCCAGCTTAGAGTGTTCACCTGGCTGCAATGGCCCAAATTCACCATCATCAAAAAATTCACCCTGTTCAAAACCAACTCTGACTGGTAACTCACTGGCCCTGCTCCTAGGATTAGTTGGAAATTATTTCTAAAGATTGAAAAACATTGTTAGTGTTAATATGAGAAAGAATCATGTTCCATTTAGCACGTTAAGAAAGTGGGTCAGAACAACTTTTTAAGAATTATTTATTTTTGACATACAAGTATGCCCTGCTTACCTCCAACAAGCATTGGAGGCCATTGCTATAAAACCCACGAGCAACAGGGCACGTGCAAGCTCTCCCTGGGAAAGAGTTTACAGCGTATCATAATGTCTGCTACAGCATCAGTTTGGGTGGAATGTGCTAAATCGAAGCATTTTAAAAGCCCAGTTTGTTCTAAGGGTTGAGTATAGCTGCATCACAGCCTGGTCTTGGGCTTGGTCCTCACCATGCCTGCCTTTACCCACTTTTATGTTTCTCCTCTAGCCTCTCCCGCCCCAAGAGCCAGTTCACTAGCACCCCCACCAGAGACTGACGGGAAGGACTGAAATGCTTCTGGGTCAGCAGTTTCAGTTCTGCCCTGTGTGACTTTGTGGGATGGTGTTTAAGTGTAGGGAGGTGGGAGGATTCCTGGGTTGAAGTGATGCATAAGTCTTAATTCTTTATCCATTCGTCTGTAGAGGAGAGTCTACACATGTTTCACCCTGTGTCTTCCCCACTCTCTCCTGTCCAGTAAGCAATATGCGATGTGCAAATCTTAAAACTAGATGAAGAGTCTAATCTCCATTTCTGATCTCTTCCCAGAGCACTCTTACTTCTCTAATTCTGCCACTCAGAATCCCACTGTTGAAGCTTTTCACACAAGGTAAGCTGCAACACCGTCAGACATCTCTAGGTAAACTCAAGGTAAAAAGCAAAAGGCAGAAGGAGAAAAATTGGAGAAATTCTTCTCTCTTCCTGCTGGCTGCATTTACAGACCATTCATGATTATCTGACTAAAGCTGACTGTCAGCTATGCAAGTATTTTATTACAGCTTTTAAAAATTTGGAAAAAGAAAAACATTCTATCTTTAATATCTTACACAAAACTACTGTTTCCATTATTTCCCCATCATTTTTACCACACTCACGACCTCTAAGACTATTATGGCCATTCCTCACTAGTAGAAAAATATAACAGATCTGCAGATTATGAAAAATGGGTCTGCCAGAAATGCTGAGGAATACTTGAGGGTTTGGAGGAGGGATGGAGAACAGAATTGTTTTAGTTCTTTGATTGGTTTTGGCTTTTGATGCTCGTTTCAAATAGCTATGTTGCTCCAAATTATAAATTGCTTATGTAATTTAATGTGCAAAAAGAGGGGGCTTAAGAACTTTTCATTTGAGCAACGGAGCTTTCAAAGGAAAACCTCAAAAGAAAAAGCTGTAAGAAAATTGCTTAACTTTAACTTGAACTTTCTAGGTATCCTTTAAAAACATCTTTGATTTTTTTTCTGATCTGTTGCTCTAACAGGTAAATGCTATTCACCATATTCATGGTCAAAAGAGACCCCCAAAAAACAGCACTTTGGATGGAAACAGTTTAGCTAAGGAAAAATGCCTGGTATGTGTTTATTTAGCATACCTTTCCCCCGCGCCCCCTCCCTCCCCCTACACCATTCCTTTGTCTTTTTGGTAAGGCCTGGTTTGGTTTCTTCCAGCTTCATGGAAAAGTGCATGGGCGCCCAGGCTTCTAAGTAGCTCATCCCTCACCTGAGAACCAGCCGTGGGTGCAGGACGGGCCACTGTCTTACACTGGGATGCCTGTCACCACACCTGGCCGAACTGGGATATACCTAGACGCCGTCCAGGCACCGGAGGTCCTCCTGGCCGGCAATAACAGGGGTACAAAATGCTCCCCCTCTCTCCGGGCCCCGCACCCCTACAGGGAATCCAAAAAAGGGGCGCTAGTACTGCCCATTAGCATCCAGTAGGAGCAGCCGGACCGCCGCCCCTCGCGGGCTCAAGCCCTGGTCCATCGCGGGCCCAGACCGCAACCGCAAGTCCGCAGCCTGCGCGTCAGCTGGCGCGGGTCCCTCCGGTCGTGGGACTGCGGTCTCTAAACTCCCACTGGAGCAGGTCAGCAGCGCAGTAATCCGGGAGATTTTTCCGCGCATTCCCGCCCAGACCCAAGACCACGGTCCTCTCGGCCGAAAACTTTGGGACTCGCAGTGCGCCCGCCGAGCTTCGCCTCCTCCGCGGGGAAACCCGGGCCCTCGGTGCCCGCCGCCCGCTCCACCAGGAGTGCGCCCACGGCCAGTTCGGGCGCCCTGGTCCTGTGCTGGTGCACACCCTGCCCTCTGCTCCCAGCACCGCCGGGGACAGGGGTGTCGGTAAACCTGCCCAGCAGCGGGGTGACCCAGCCCCCAGCCCTGCTTTCCCCCTCCCCCGCGCCCTCAGTCCCCGGCCCCAGCCCCGTCGGCGCTCCCTCCCCTGGCGCGTCGCGCTCTCACCCAGCCGGATCGCCCCCACCTCTCGCACTCACTCCGGCGCCCGACCGCCCTTCCCCCGGCCCCGGCCGTGTTGGCGCCCCCTCCCCGGCTCCGGGCCCCCGCGCTCTCACCCCCTCTCCTGAGTGCAGGGACGAAGAGCCACGGCAGCAGCAGCAGCAGCAGTAGTCGTGGGGCCCGCCCCATCCCGGAGCCGCGGGTCTGGAAATTCTTCCCGTCGGACGGGCGGAGGGGCAGCGAGGCCCGCGGAGGAGCCCAGTCCGGCGGGCGCCGGAGTGGGGCGGGGAGGCGCCCAGCTCTCTGGAAGGGGCGGGCCGGGGGGCGGGCAGCAGGGGAAGGAAGGGGACCCTGCGGGCCAGGAGAGTAGAGGAAGGGAGGGAGGACGAGGGGAGGGTGAGGAACCCGCACCGGAGGCGCGGCCAAGGCGGGACGGGAAAGGGGCCCGGCCTCCCGGCGTCCAGCGCAGCGCCCGGGGCACCAGCCGAAGGTGCAGGGCCCGCCCAGCGTGGAGGAGAGAGCGCCTGTGTGCCCCAGTGGACGCTCGTGAAGGGAAGAACATCAACAAAAGCGCGGAGCAGGAGTGCAGGGAGGCAATCTGTGCGGGGGGGCCAAAGGGGCAGGCAAAGTTAATCATAAAAGACCTCTAAGCCATGTTCATATAATCTCAACGATAACTGGCATTCCTAAGCCTACTTTCTTAAAGGAAACATTTCAGATCTTTTCAGACTGCGTAAGCCAGATCATGCCATTCCTCGGCTTAAAACTGGCAGAACCCTACGGTGGCCCCTGCCTTCTCGCTGCATCAGAGCCCACATGGTCTTGCATGGCCTGGCCAGGGTCCCCTCTGACCCTACTTCCTCACTCCTCTTCTGTTTGTACTGGTTTCTTGCCACCCCATCCCTGACCCCTCAGCTGCCTGGCCTCTTCAGGCAGATTTTGCTGTAAGGAGACACCCAAGCAGGGTGGATATAGACAGGTTAGTGCTTACACCCACAGCAAAGCAGAATCAACTCCTTTGTCCCTACCCCACAGGACTACAACAGGCCAGATGAGCAGTGGATGGGCTGCAACTTGAAACTAGAGCTAAGACATTTCATAGACTTGCACTGAGCCTGCAGCTGTGTCCTTAGGGGCAAGAGGGAGGCATGGAGGGGAGGAGATGGACAGGCCTGTGCTCTACTGAAACAATGGATGAGGAGGAAAATAGCCTTGCAGCATCTCCCACAAGATGGGGATATGGCGCTGCCCCCCAACAGCTGCTCCCCAGGCTTGCCTGCTTTGCTCCTGGAGGAATCACAGGCAGTGTGCCCAGACATGGGGACGACTGCAGTCAAGCATGGCCTACATGCCTTGTGTGGAGGGGTGCAGGGTCCCCAGGGCACCTCAACAGAGCCCTTCCTACAGGTTCCGGGCCCTTGCTCACATACATCAGGCACACTCCCACCTCAGGGCTTTGCACTGACTGTTCCCTCTGCCTGGAATGCTGTTCCCCCAGACACATCCTCTCAGTTAACTCTCTTGCTTCAAGGCTTTGCTCAAATTTCACTTTCTTGATGAGATTACTGCCTGTATAAACTGGGCTGGTTATCTATTGCCGAAGGACATACCACCCCAGACATAGCAGGAGCAAAACACCACCATTGTATGAGATTGATGGAGGGTCAAATCTTTGTGGGTCAGAGATTTGAACAGGGATCACCAGGAGATGGTTTGTATTTGTTCTTCCATCTCTGCTGCCATCTGGGGCCCAAATGAACAGGGACTAGAATCATCTAAAACGGGTGAGCTAAGTATATAGCCTGTGGTCTATCACCTGTCTGTGCAAATAACTGTGGTTGGAACATAGCCATTCGCATGTGTATTATCAATGCTGCTTTTGTGTGATGACAGCAGAGTTGAGCAGTTGTGACAGAGCTCAAATGATCCACATAGCCACACAATCTGGCCCTTTACAGAAAAAGATGACCAACCCCTGACCTAGAGGCTCCTCCTTGCAGGTACCCGGCCCTTGTGCTGGGATGACATGGGGTCTAGGGCGGCTTCTCCACCGTGGCCTTGGTGCAGTCAGAAGTCTGCATGGTGGCTCAGGGCACCAGAGCATGCGTCCAATCTAGTGTACAAGGTAGAAGCTGTATGGCCTTTTATGACCCAGCCTCAGGTCACCTAGCTCCATTTTACCATTCCCCCTTGGTGGAAGCAGTCACCACCCACCCTCGCTGGGAGGAGCCAGAGCTACCCCCTCTTGACGATGGACATTTCAAAGAATTTGCAGTCATGTTTTAAAACTTCCACAAACACCAAAACTAAAAGGTGACATATCTGCTCTATTGTATCAATCTCATAGTTGACACCCATCTAAATGCCATTGTAATTTAATGTCCTAACTATTCAAGTGATCAAAATATGAGAAGGGAAATGTGAGGAAAAGAAAAAGAAAAATGAGACCCCACATTACACAACTATTTCTACGCTCATAGGACCTCTGCCCTAAAGGCTACATTGTAAGTTCAGCAGTCAACGCCAGCCAAGAACCCACACTCGGAGACCCACCACGCTGTTGGTGTCTGCTAAGACTCCATGTGACACTGTCCACTCCTAAGAAAAAGAGGCACTGGCCAGGGCCTGCAGCTGTGGTCATTCAGGGGCTCAGGAAGACGACGCCCACTGATTCCAGTGCAGAAGGGCTGTAACCCTAATCAGGTGGCATTGTAGCCAGTTCATCATGTTGAAGACACCAATGATGGGATTGAAGACTTCCAACTGCAGGACCCATGATGACAGATGGAATGTGCCCCTCATTCCTCAACGACCCTATTCTTAGCCCACATCCTACCTCTCTTTGTCCTCCTACCACACTCACCCCTTGTTCTTTTCAGCCTTGATCCCAGCTGTGGCTTTTAATTTACTTCCCCTTCCTGCCTCCAGTCTGTGACATGGACCCCTAACTCACAGCTGGCCTCCTCCCATCCACTTTGAAATAGTGCAGGCTGCCCAATATTCAGACACCTGGCTGGACCCCAGGATACTCTATGAATGATGGTGCTCCAAGAAATGGCCTAATCCCAGTGTCTGTGCCAGAGGGCCATGAGTTCATTTACCATCACACACAGGTTGGCTGAGCACACGCTCAATTGTAGGTGTAAGAATCATACCTGGGACGTATCACTGAGCCAATGCATGGTGCCTCTGTCAGGGACCCTAGAGCCAGCCAAGGCCTGGACCACTTGGGCTCTCAGCCACCCAGAGCTGTTGTATGGTCTTCCAGTCACAGTGCCCTGGTGACTGAACCAGTGGCTCCCACACTCACATGCACTCCTGCCCCTGAACCTGGTGGGATTCCCCTTGCTGCCCGAGACCATTCTGTGTCTCTGCTCCCTAGTGTCTCCAGCTTTGAACCAGATGTCCTCAGACTGTACCAGCCCTGCGTGCTGCAGTCATCCACAGATCCCTAGGTTTCTCCTCCTCACTCCTTGACGATTTCAGTGCTAACACCACATTACCCTCTTCACACTATCTTTGTCACGATTCTTAGTGGTTTCAGTACCGTATAATGACCTTCCAATACTACAGATTCCAAAACCCTTGGCCTCTTGGGCCTCCACTCAGTGTGAGAGGAACACATTAAAAATATAAGGGCCAAGTTTGCTGCGGACTGGATGGTGTTTATGAGAGAGTCAACTCCAATGCCCCACATCTTAAAGGAGCACAAGCAATTGTCATTTCTTGGGCAGTGTGGATGGTGCATGCGAGAATCTCCATGGAATGTGCCAGAAGGGTTGCTGGACGGTTCGGATTCTGTTGCAGGTAAGGTGACCCATTCAGATCACGGAATCAAACACAGTGTATACTGCACTTGTATGATCTAGTGCCAGTCAATCAGGAATCCATAACTGAAGAACATGTACCGGATGCAAGACTACAGTTTGTTATAGGAAGAGGGTACCACAGAGCAACAGCAGTAAAGTAAGAATATGCATGCCCCACAATTAAAGGGGTCGAGAGAGGCCAGGGGCAGCATCCTTTGTCCTCCCTTCTGTAAAGAACGTGGCTGGATATACTTTCTCTGTCAGATTAGGAGCCACCTGGAGCACTTCGGGATCAGAGCCTCAAGTGGGAGCTCAGCTGGGGACTTATATTCTGCTGGTCATCTGCGCATAGTTCCAAGACATAACTGTCTCAGATATCACCTTGCTCTCACAAACCTTCCCATCCTCCTCCTCACTTGTCTCTTTACTCCGATTTATCTTTTGTTTGGAGCACCCAGCACAGCCTGACTTCACCTTATGTATCCATGTGGTTGCTGGTTTGACTTTTATGCCAACCTGTGCTTCTCACGTCTGGCCCATAGGAGGCAATCAACACACAACTGTAAAGGGAGCAGAGATTTCTATAATATAATATATGCAGTGATCTGACTACCCCATTAGCCTAGCTCCCACCTGGCACTATAATTATACATAGCTGTTGCAACATTATTGACTATATTCCCTATGCTGTACTTTACACCCTGTGACTATTTTGTAACTACCAATTTGTACACCTGAAGCTAATATAAAATATTGACTGTCAACTGTAACTGAAAAAGTAATTTTTTTTAAAAATGGAGGGGGTAAAATGGCATAGGGATATGCATATATTATCTCCTGGCATATTAAAATAAGATCTGACTATTAAAAAAGAATAAAGGAGTGAGGAATGACTTCCCCTTAATTTCATCTATAAATTCTATGAGATCCTAATCAAAATTCCAAGGGATTTTTTTTTTTGGAACTTGATCAAATGATTCAAAATTTATACATACTAAATTTAGGATATGCATATTTTTGAAACCAAAATTCTATTTGCAGGAAATTATTCAAAAGCAATTGAATAAATGTTCAGAGGTACCCATACAATGTGATCATTACAGGATTATTCATAAAGCAGAAAACAGAATAATTTTTAAGTCTACTGATTAGAGCTTAGTTATATAATTCATGGTGTCTCAGGAGAAAAGATACTAGAAGGCATTATTTTTCAGAAATATTTTAATGATATTGTAGGTAGAGTATGTTATCAAACAGAACAATTAACTTTGCGAACTCATCCTAGAAAAAATGCTACATACCTCATTGCTGAATATCACTACAGTCACCTTCAAAGTACTCCCCTTAGGAAGCTATGCACCGACGCCAGCGCCTAGTCTACCTTTCAAAGCAATTTTGGAACTCTTTCTGGAATGGCCATCAGAGCTGTGGTCATATTACCCTGATGTCCTGAATGTCATCACAATATCTTCCTTTCAATATTTTCTTTATCTTT